CTGTCTTCTTTGCTTCTGTCGTTTTCTTTATGTTAACTTTCTTTTTTTATGCCCTTCTTGCCTCCCTTTCGTTGTTTATTTGTCCATTTTTTCTTTCTTTCTTTTTATTTCCTCTTCTTCTTGCCTTAATTTTTTACATTCTTTCCTTCTTTTTTATTTTCCTTTCTTTCTTTCTTTTCTTTTTTCACATTCTTTCTGTCTTCTCCTTTTCGTTTTATTCGTCATTTTCTGTCGTTTTTTTATTTTAATTCTTTCTTTTTTACGCTTTCTTTCTTCTTGCCTTCTTTTCGTTGTTTATTTGTCCATTTTTCTTTTTTTTCTTTTTATTTCCTCTTCTTCTTGCCTTAATTTTTTACATTCTTTCCTCCTTTTTATTTTTCATTCTTTCCTCCTTTTTTCCATTTTCTTTCTTTCTTTCCTCTTCTTCTTCTTTAATTTTTCTTTTCTTTTTTATTTTCCTTTCTTTCTTTTCTTTTGTCTTTTTTGCTTCTGTTTTTTCTTTTATGTTAACTTTCTTTTTTTATACCCTTCCATTTTTCGTTTTTTTATTTGTCCATTTTCTTTTTTTCTTTTATTTCCTCTTCTTCTTGCCTTAATTTTTACATTCTTTCCTTTTTATTTTCTTTTTTTTTTTTTTCTTTCTTTTCTTTTCTTTTCATTCTTTTTGTTTTCTTTTGCTTCTGTCGTTTTTATTTTATTTTAACTTTCTTTTTGCCATAATTTTTCATTTTTTACTTCTTTTTATTTCCTTCTTGCCTTATTTTCGTTGTTTATTTGTCCATTTTTCTTTTCTTTCTTTATTTCCTTTTTTTTTTTCTCTTCTTCTTGCTTTTTTTTTTTCCATTTTTTCCTTCTTTTTTTTTCTTTCTTTCTTTCTTTTTATTTTCTTTCTTTCTTTTCACATTCTTTCTGTTTTCTTTTTCTGTCGTTTTCTTTATGTTTTTTTTTTACGCCCTTCTTGCCTTCTTTTCGTTGTTTATTTGTCCATTTTTTTTCTTTCTTTCTTTTTATTTCCTCTTCTTCTTGCCTTAATTTTTACATTTCTTTCCTTTTTTTTTTTCCTTTCTTTCTTTTCACATTCTTTCTGTCTTCTTTGCTTCTGTCGTTTTCTTTATGTTAACTTTCTTTTTTTACGCCCTTCTTGCCTTCTTTTCGTTGTTTATTTGTCATTTTTTTTTCTTTCTTTCTTTTATTTCCTCTTCTTCTTGCCTTAATTTTTTACATTCTTTCCTTCTTTTTATTTTCCTTTCTTTCTTTCTTTTCACATTCTTTCTGTTTTCTTTTGCTTCTGTCGTTTTCTTTATGTTAACTTTCTTTTTTTTTTATTTCTCTTCTTGCTTTCTTTTTCGTTGTTTATTTGTCCATTTTTCTTTTTTTTTCTTTTATTTCCTCTTCTTCTTGCCTTATTTTTTTTAATTTTTTCTTTCTTTTCATTTTTCTTTTATTTTCTTTCTTTCTTTTCACATTCTTTCTGTCTTTCTTTGCTTCTGTCGTTTTCTTTATCTTTAACTTTCTTTTTTTACGCCCTTCTTGCCTTCTTTTCGTTGTTTATTTGTCCATTTTTTTTTTTTTCTTTTTATTTCCTCTTCTTCTTGCCTTAATTTTTACATTCTTTCCTTCTTTTTTATTTTCCTTTCTTTCTTTCTTTTCACATTCTTTCTGTCTTTTTTGTTTCTGTCGTTTCCTTTATGTTAACTTTCTTTTTTTACGCTCTTCTTGCCTTCTTTTCGTTGTTTATTTGTCCATTTTTTTTTTTCTTTTTTTCTTTTATTTCCTCTTCTTCTTTCCCTTTTAATTTTTTTTTTCTTTCTTTCCTTCTTTTTTTTTTTTTTCCTTTTCGTTTTCTTTTTTCACTTTCTTTTTTCTTCTTTTCTTTTCGTTGTTTATTTGTTTCTTTTTTTTTCTTTATTTTATTCTTTCCTTCTTTTTATTTTTTTTTCTTTCTTTTTTTTTTCTGTTTTCCCTTTTTTCGCCTTCTTTTCTTTTGTTTTTTTGTCCATTTTCTTTCTTTTTTTTATTTCTTTCTCTTTTTTCTTCCTTTCTTTCTTAATTTTTTGCTTCTGTCGTTTTCATTCTTTTTTTTCGTTGTTTATTTTCCATTTTCTTTCTTCTTTTTTTTATTTTTTCATTTTTTCTTTTCTTTTCACATTCTTTTCATTCTTTCTTTTCTTTGCTTCTGTCGTTTTCTTTTATGTTAACTTTCTTTTTACGCCCTTCTTGCCTTCTTTTCGTTGTTTATTTGTCCATTTTTTTCTTTTTTTATTTTCTTTCTTGCCTTAATTTTTTCTTCTTTCTTCTTTTTTTTTTTCTTTCTTTCTTTTCACATTCTTTCTGTTTTTTTACATTCTTTCCTTCTTTTCGTTTTTTATTTTCCATTTTTCTTTCTTTCTTTTTATTTCCTTTCTTCTTTTAATTTTTACATTCTTTCCTTCTTTTTATTTTCCTTTCTTTCTTTTTTTTACATTCTTTCTTCTTTTCTTTGCTTCTGTCGTTTTCCTTTTTTTTCTTTCTTTTTACGCCCTTCTTGCCTTCTTTTCGTTGTTTATTTGTCCATTTTTTCTTTCTTTCTTTTTATTTTCTCTTCTTCTTTTCTTAATTTTTTCATTCTTTCCTTCTTTTATTTTCCTTTCTTTCTTTCTTTTCACATTCTTTCTGTTTTCTTTGCTTCTGTCGTTTTCTTTATTTAACTTTCTTTTTACGCCCTTCTTGCCTTCTTTTCGTTGTTTATTTGTCCATTTTTTTCTTTCTTTTTTTTTTCTTCTTCTTTTTTTCTTTCCTTCTTTTCTTTTTTTTTTTCTTTTTCGTTTTCTTCTTCTTGCCTTAATTTTTTATTTTCTTTCTTTTCTTTTTTTTTTCCTTTCGTTTTTTCTTTTCTTTTTCACATTCTTTTCTTTCGTTGTTTATTTTCATTTTTTTTTCTTTCTGTCGTTTTCTTTATGTTAACTTTCTTTTTTTACGCCCTTCTTGCCTTCTTTTCGTTGTTTATTTGTCCATTTTTTCTTTCTTTCTTTTTATTTCCTCTTCTTCTTGCCTTAATGTTTTACATTCTTTCCTTCTTTTTTATTTTCCTTTCTTTCTTTTCACATTCTTTCTGTTTTCTTTGCTTCTGTCGTTTTCTTTATGTTAACTTTCTTTTTTACGCCCTTCTTGCCTTCTTTTCGTTGTTTATTTGTCCATTTTTTTTTCTTTCTTTTCTTTTTTATTTCCTCTTCTTCTTGCCTTAATTTTTTACATTCTTTCCCTTCTTTTTTATTTTCTTTTCTTTTTTCTTTTTTTTCTTTCTTTTTTTTTTCTTTTTTCACATTCTTTCTGTTTTTTTTTTCATTTTTTCTGTTTTTTTTTCCTTTATGTTTTTCTTTTTTTTTCTTTTCCTTTTTTTTACGCCCTTCTTGCCTTCTTTTTTCGTTGTTTATTTGTCCTTTTTTTTTTTTTTCTTTTCTTTTTATTTCCTCTTCTTCTTGCCTTAATTTTTTTCTTTTTCTTTCCTTCTTTTTTATTTTCCTTTCTTTTCTTTCTTTTCACATTCTTTCTGTCTTTTTTTGCTTCTGTCGTTTTCCTTTATTTTAACTTTTTTTTTTTTTTTTTACGCTCTTCTTGCCTTCTTTTCGTTGTTTATTTGTCCATTTTTTTCTTTCTTTTTTTTTATTTCCTCTTCTTCTTGCCTTAATTTTTACATTCTTTCCTTCTTTTTTTTATTTTCCTTTCTTTCTTTCTTTTCACATTCTTTTCTGTCTTTTTTTTTTGTCGTTTTTTCTTTATGTTAACTTTTTTTTTTACGCCCTTCTTGCCTTCTTTTCGTTGTTTATTTGTCCATTTTTTCTTTCTTTCTTTTTATTTCCTCTTCTTCTTGCCTTAATTTTTTACATTCTTTCCTTCTTTTTTATTTTCCTTTCTTTCTTTCTTTTCACATTCTTTCTGTCTTTTTTGCTTCTGTCGTTTCCTTTATGTTAACTTTCTTTTTTTACGCTCTTCTTGCCTTCTTTTCGTTGTTTATTTGTCCATTTTTTCTTTCTTTCTTTTTATTTCCTCTTCTTCTTGCCTTAATTTTTTACATTCTTTCCTTCTTTTTTATTTTCCTTTCTTTCTTTTCACATTCTTTCTGTTTTTTTTCCTTTTATTGTCTTTCTTTCCTTTATGTTAACTTTTTTTTTTTTTACGCTTTTTTTGCCTTCTTTTCGTTGTTTATTTGTCCATTTTTTCTTTCTTTCTTTTTATTTCCTCTTCTTCTTGCCTTAATTTTTACATTCTTTCCTTCTTTTTTATTTTCCTTTCTTTCTTTCTTTTCACATTCTTTCTGTTTTCTTTGCTTCTGTCGTTTTCTTTATGTTAACTTTCTTTTTTTACGCCCTTCTTGCCTTCTTTTCGTTGTTTATTTGTCCATTTTTTCTTTCTTTCTTTTTATTTCCTCTTCTTCTTGCCTTAATTTTTTACATTCTTTCCTTCTTTTTTATTTTCCTTTCTTTCTTTCTTTTCACATTCTTTCTGTTTTCTTTGCTTCTGTCGTTTTCTTTATGTTAACTTTCTTTTTTACGCCCTTCTTGCCTTCTTTTCGTTGTTTATTTGTCCATTTTTTCTTCCTTTCTTTTTTTAATTTGTTTTATTGTTTTTACTTTCTTTCTTTTTCACTTATTTTCCTTTCTTTCTATTTCTTTTTGTTCTCTTTCTTTCTTTTTCATTCTTTCTTTCTTTTCTATTTCTGTCTTGTCCCATACCTTTTTTTTACTCTTTTCTTTTCTCCCTTTCATTCTTCATTTCTCCCTTCTTTTTCCCTTTTCCGACTTACTTTGATTTATTCTTTTAACTTCTTTTTCTATTATTTTACTTTCATTTTTCTTTTTCTTTTTGCCTATCATTTTAATTTTTGCCATACTTTCTTTCTTTCTTTCTTTCTTTCTTTTTCCATTCATTCTGTCTTATACGTTTTTTTTCTTTATTTTTTCTTTATTTGTTTACGTCTTTCTTTCCTTCTATTTTCCTTCCCTTGTTCTTCCCGTTTTAAGTTATTTTCCCTTTCTTTCTTTATTTGTTCATTCTTCCTTTCTCTCGTTCATTTCCATCTTCTCCTCTTTTTTTTCATTTCTTTCTTTCTTTCTTTCTTTCTTTCTTTCTTTCTTAACTGCTCACATCGACCCCGTAAAAAAAACGCGATATTTATGAATTGTTCGGCACTTTTATTCAGGATCAGATTATCCGTGTACTCTGTGGGAAGATCAAACACCTGATTCGCGGTAATTTTGCCCCGGATCAACGTTTAAAATCGGTGAAAAACTATAAAAAAAACTATAGACAGATCATATCTGTATGTATGTGTGTGTGTGTGTGTTCTTTCATACATACATATATATATATATATATATATATATATATATATATATATATATGTGTGTGTGTGTGTGTCTGTGAGTGCGTGTGTGTGTGTGTGTGTACGCTACAGTTCAAAATTTGAAGCCATCCCCAGGATTAGCATGGGAGGGTTAGGGTTGAACTTGACAGAAGCGTGAAAAAAAAAATTAAAAAGAGATCTAAGAGTCATTAAGAAAGAATAAAATCCATCATGAAACTTATACCTTGAGAAGCCATTGCAACAAATGCCAAAAATATATGATGCAGTAATCAAGACTAAAGGAAGGATATTTTGATGAGAGCAAAATTTAATCATAAAATGTTTATTTTTAATTTTTCTCGTAATAAAATTTTCAATAAAAAAAATCATGTCATAATTTTTTAAGCATGTATAAATAATTTTTCTTATTTAAAGTACAAAACAACTATTTTGTGGGCCAATTTAAAATTATATTGATGAACTTAAATTTTAGCACTATATATATATATATATATATATATATATATATATAGTAAAAAAATTTACATATAACTATATATATATATATATATATATATATATATATATATATATATATATACAAAATTTAAAATATATATATGTATATATATATATATATATATATATATATATATATATATATAAAATAAGAGCTAAGAACTGAATCATAAATCTCTTTTTACTTTTTATTATTTTAAATATATATATATGTATGTGTGTATGTATATATATGTGCATATATATATAATATATATATGTATGTATATATATACATACATATATATATATATATATATATATATATGTGTGTGTGTGTGTGTGTGTGTGTGTGTGTGTGTGTGTGTGTGTGTGTATGTATTGATGTTCATGACTGTGGGTTCTATTTTATTTATGATCCTCAGGCAAACTGCCCCTCTCTCCCTCTGCATATATATATATATATGTATATATGCATACATACATAAATATTACGCACACACATATATATTTTTATTGTTATATATGCATACATATATCTATATTAAGCATACACATATTTGTGCATATATATCTATACTTGAGTAATATATATATATATGTAACAATATTAAATATGTATGCTTAATATATATATATATATATGTGTGTGTGTGTGTGCGTGCGTGTGTTAAGACAATTTTTATTAAATGTAATAGACACGGTATATCTATTACATTCAATTTTTTTCCCCTTCTTTTTCTAATTGACGGATTCATTCCCGTATTTTAGAATAACAAATAAGAAGATAAAGTTCATAACAGTATATATAATGTTTCCAGCTTTCGAATGGCTTCAATTATTATTAAGAATCAAAATATCTTCAATTACTGTTAGTATCTCATTTGGATTTCATTTTCTTGTCACCAGGTGAACATTGAAACAATGAAACCAAAGACGCAGCATCACTTTCTTTGGATGCAAATTTGCTTGTGAATTACATTAATATTAAAACCTTAACGGAAGCTCATTTCGTTTACCCGCCGGGAGCTTATTCGTTCCACATTGTTGTAAGCGTTCGAATTTTCATCGTCTGCGCCACTTCATTTGGAATATAGGTCGTTTGGTTGGGTTTCAGCACGGATTCGCCAACAAAATATCTTCGTGACGTTTCACGTATCCAAATGTTTTCTAAATGCCTCACAACCCTTCCCCCCCCCATTTAGATATGTGGAGTACCTCTGAGCTATTCTGCACCTACATTGCTCGCGCACCACGGCCACGCGTTCGACGCGCGCTGTGGCCGGAACACCTTGCTTTTTTTTTTTCATTTTTTCATCAAATGACTAAAGCGCATCTCACTTTCCTCAATTTTCACCTTTAACATAAAAACATTTAAAATTCTCGATCCACACACGAATTTTATGGAACATCGCGATGAAATATCGCTTTTAATATATATATATATATATATATATATATATATATATATATATGTATGTATATATATTATAAATTAATTGATTTAAAATATGTTTTTTCCGCTACACAGTTCTAAACATGTTTCAAAAATGGAAGCTAAAAGCCACGAATTTAATTTTGCAATTAAATTAAAGACATTAGTTCCATTTCATCCTCAAGCGAATTTTAAAAAATATCTATTAGAACACCGGATTATATATCTTACTGTTCTTTCTTTTTATTTAAATACATACATTAACGTCATGACGAAGAGGGTAGTAAATCAGACTCGATATAGCGCCGCTTCAGCAGTTCGCTTCCACTACCGAGAATATGCCAGCGCTATATCGAGTCTGATTCGCTACCTCTTCGTCACCGTTGGAACAGTTGGTATGACGTTTGCCTGATAACATAACTGTCCGGGTTTCAATTCTCGGTAGTGGATGCGCACTGCTGATGAGTCCCAAATATAGGACGAAACGGCCGTCTAGGGCTTTCTGCATTCTGTTGAGGTTTCATCTAGACTCGATGAATTACTTAATTATGATTATCTCAAATCCTCCTAGTACACACACACACACACACACATATATATATATATATATATATATATATATATAATATAATATCTAGTTAAAACCTAGAAAGCCAGACAAACCTACCAAGGTTTCACCTGACGATCTGCTGAGGTGAAACATTGGTAGGTTTGTTTGACTTTCTAGGTCTGCTCTATTTACCATATTGAGCACTTTATTTAGTTATTTTGCGTACTCGTATCGGGGTTTTTTTCTTTGGGCTTTGGACTTGCATGCGAGACGATTATTTTTGGCTAATGTACATGTTCTTAGTTCTTTCTTTTTTTATACCTTTTTTTCCCTTTGGTATTGGTTTGATTATTCGCAAATCAAGACACCGAAGGTTTTCCGAACGAGTATAGTTTCTTATACTTATAACATTTCTATTATTAATATATATATATATATATATATATATATATATATATATATAGATAGATAGATAGATATAACCTTCGGTCATTAAAAAGCGGTTTTATTTGACTCTTCAATGTAAATAGTTCAATAATTAGATTTAAATCTGAAAAAGACTAGGAGCTGAAAGTTACAATGAGACATTCTCAATAACATAAAAAATGGAAAAGAAGAAAAAAAAACTTACTTTAAATCCAGGTCAAAGATAGGTCCTCATATTCTTCAAGAAGGAAAAGTAGCCACACCCTTCGTTTATATGCAGTTAAAAGCAGGTACCTTAAACAGATATTGAAAACATCATTTAGATAAGCAGACGAATTTACAAAACAATTAATAATTCATTGCTAGTTTTATTCTAGCTGATTATTAATGTTCTTTAAGTAAAATATCATTATTATTATTATTATTATTATTATTATTATTTTCTTTGATGTCTGGCGTTTACACATTTCTTTCCGGGTCCCGCCCAGTGACCTAAGGTTAGAAATGGCATCATGACACTTTCCACATAGATAAAGCCCTTCGTAAAATGTAGGCTGTACTTGTCAGAACAATTTTTGTTGTATTTTTTGAGGCATGGGCTTCCAGGAATCCCTTCAATTAGTCTACTAAATCTTTTCCAACCAATCCTAGGGCTCCAACTATAACAGTGATTGTTAATGTTCCCATGTGCCACATTTTTAAGATTTCTACTTCAAGATCCTTTTTGACAGCTTTTTGAATATCTTCAAAGATATGTTACAGTCTGCAGGGACTGCCATATCAATAAGGAGGCACTTTTTTTGTTTGTGGTCTTTAATAACAATGTCTGGTAGGTTGGCTTTGATTGTTCTGTCAGTGTGTATTGTTTAGTCCCATAGAATTGTAGCAGGTTATTATTATTATTATTATTATTATTATTATTATTATTATTATTATTCATATTTCCTTTGATTTCTGGTTTGTACTCATTTCTTTCCAGCTCCCGAACAGAGCACTAAGGTCAGAAATGGCATCATGATATTTTTCTCTGAGCAGTTTGGAAAAAAAATATGACACATATTTTACATAGATAAAGCCCTTCAAAAGGTGTGACATGTGCTTGTGTGTACATTTATTTGTATTTCTTTAAGGCATGGACTACTAAGGATTACTTTAATAAGTCTATTGGAATCTTTTCCAGTCAACCCGAGGGCCCCGGCCACAACTAGAACTGTCAATGTCCTCATGTGCCACATTTTTGAGCTTTCGATTTCAAGGTCCTTGCATTGTGACAGCCCTTTGGCGATCTTTAAAGATACGTTGCAGTCTGCAGGGACTGCCATATCAATAAGAAGACACATTTTGTCTGTGCGGTCTCTAATCACGATGTCAGTTTCCACTGACAAAAAAAAAATTACATAGATAAAGCGCTTCGTAAAGTGTGGGCTGTACTTATGAGAACTATTTTTTTTATCGCTTTGAGGCATGGACTTCCAGGAATCCCTTCAATTAGTCTACTGGAATCATTTCCAACCTGTCCTAGGGCTCCAACTACAACAGGTGCCAGATTTTTGAGATTTCTATTTCAAGGTACTTTCATAGCTTTTTGAAGATCTTCAAAGATACATTGCAGTCAGCAGGGACTGCCATATCAATAAGGAGGCACCGTTTTTGTTTGTGGTCTTTAATAACAATATCTGGACGGTTGGCTTTGATTGTTCTGTCAGTGTGTATTGTGTAGTCCCATAGAATTGTAACAAGTCCTATATCCGTAACCGGGTCTGGGTGG